GATTTCTTGAAAGTGAAATGGATTTTCACTCTGTCTTGTATAAATTCCCATTTGGGCATACTCTCTACACTAAAGAAGACACCATATTTGTTCAGTAATGAAGACGGGCACTGTGTTTTAGTTAGGCTTCATTTAAAAAAAGAAAATGTGCCAAAACTCCATCTACGCAAAAGACAGTGTATGCATTAAACCGTAGATCTAAATTTGAGATTCAAATTGCAGTGCAACTAATGAGGCAAATAAGATGATTAATGAGCCAAAAGCAAAGCCAGTCGTGAGCTCAGTTGATGTTGAATTCACAGTACTTCCACACAGCACATAAATGTGTTGCTGTATTTGTGAGACTTCACGCTCGTATATGTAATATTCTCGCTGATCACTGAATGCAACATTTCTAACATGTTGAGACAACCTGAGCTTTGATGGATTAAGGCCAAGTGAAAAAAGAAGGAAAAAAACAGATGGCTACCCACTGTGTTGTAAATTCTTAAAACAAATTCTCCATCTGCAAGCAATACAGAATGACCCACACAAGAGCAAATAATCTGGTTTTAAAAGGGCACAAAAGAAATCCTAAATCAGTTAGTTGTGTCTAAATCAGGTTAACAAATTTCTCGAGTACACTTTTCTATATTCTAATTTTTATTGTCAAGGTTTCATGTGCTTATTTCATATCTGTTTTTATATTATGGAAATATTTCTTTGAAATTGTCATTCTTATCGGAATGTTTACACAATGAATTCTTTAGACTTCTTCCGCACGAAGAAGCTTTTATAGTTTGAGTTGGTTGAACAGTGATTTTAATGTTAAGGAAGTACACAAAGCGTTTCTTATCAACCTTCCAATAAATCAAGGCTAAAGACAGTATGCTGATAGAACATGAAAGGCTGGTGTTTAGGGTTGAATTTTGTCCCAGGATCCCAACAAGTCTATTCTATACGTTGTTATTAAATTGAACATATGTTTGATAGTTGATTTGTCTATTAATAGAAAACATTGCAACAAAATTCAAACTTTTTACTTTGCACAGCTACTGAATACATTTTCAAACAACAGCCCTCTTTTTGTCTCAACTGTAATAATGTTCTTTAATCCTGGGTGCCTCGGTCCACTCAGAGAAACGTTACCAAGGAGGCATAGATGTGTCATAGGAATGTTCTCATTAAACACCATTTATTGAAATTGGACAACAAAACAAAGAAAGAGTTGAATAACAAGCAAGCTCTCATTTGTTAGTCAGCCCCCATCCCAAACAGAAACTGCCTAATTTAAAAAAGATCAAATCTTGAATTCTTTTTAATATTTCCTCACCTCTTCTGTTGCAATCGTAGGTTATTTAAGTTTTCCTTTTGCTCCACACATACTTGCACCTTGTGTACGACTGCATTTGAATTCATGTCGAGATCTGTCAGGTCTGTAATATTCTTGACAATATGATGAGCAATTTGGAGATTAAACAACTGCTAACTAAGGAGTAAATCTGTCCAGAAAGTGTATAAAACAATGTGGCCCATTTAATTCAGCTTCCACCCACAGATGAAACCATTTCAAAAGACAGATTAATGTTACATCAGAGTTTTAGCTCTGAGTAGTCTGACACTTTGTGTCAAACTTTCTGCTCTGCTTCCAGAATAATAAATAAAAGATGGCAGAATACCAACCTGTCAT